AATCTTTCCCAGCATCAGGGTCTTTTCCAAGGAGTCCTCTCTTCGCATTAGGTGACCAAAGTATCTGAGCTTGGGTAGCCCATAAAGGAATACTTTTGCAGAGCAGATTTGATACATCATATGACATTGTTCCAAATGATAAGGTTCAGCCCAAATTAAAGTGGGAAAGATTTAAACACTTACTCTTCCGCTCCATTTCAATGAATGGGACTTACCAGTGCATAACTTCAGCTACATCTGTTCCTAATGTTGGAATTTACATTGATATGTTGAGGTTTTATGTACATAATTGAAGACACAAATGACATGCCATGGAGACACAAGGACATCATTTTGGGCATTGGGGTGTGTGTAAGTCCTCCATTGAATGAACAGTAGGGCCTGTCTTGGATGGTTCACACTCTCTGACACATGGAACTCAGCTATATTTATCCTGGTGGAGGAATTCTGTCAAGTGCCTCTGTACTGTTGATAAGGTGGTGGTGCTGACAACAGAAGGGGAACAAGAGGGAGGAGCAGGAGGGGGCTTCTGAGTAGTATTTCTTTGGAGGGGGGTCTTGGAAGTCCTTCAGTCTCCTTGCAGTGTCATTCAGTGAAAAGATCCTTTCAACTCACAAGTCAACTAGAAGATGCCAGAACCTACAAAGAAACCAGGTAAGGCAATTGGAGAAAGAAAGAAAGAGTGTCACTTGCTCTAAACATAGAGATGGAGCAGCTCCCTTCATAAAGCAGTGAAATAAGGTGCTTTAACAATAAGGATACTGAAGAGAAAAATTAACCAGTGTTTCCTTTTGAAGTAAACAAACAGAAATGTAATTCAACGATAATTAAATTAAAGTGGATTAGTTACTTTAAAATAGAGGGAGGCTATGTTCTAAATTCTTTATTTCTTTATCCCCTTCAAATTGCAGCTTGTGATTCTTTTCTGGAATTTTTGTGGGAGAAGATGTGACTCCCATTAGTTAGTTATTTTTCTCTGTCATGATTTTCCATGCAAGTATAAGTTTACAGGGGGATGGGAAAACGAGGTACAGTATTTAAGATGTAGTTTTGCTTAGTACGAATAGTCATGGTAGTCACAGAAATCCATAAATACTGTTTTCCCCTCTCCTTTGAAAGACAATATGAGCATATGATAGTTTTGATACCTTTTCTGAAAGACCACTTAAATTAGAATGAAAAAAGCCAAGTCATATTATTTCCTTTTTACGTGTCTGCACTTGCAAAGACATACATGTTTCATTTCTAAAATTTAACCTTATTTAGAGATTAGTATTAATCTCGATTAACAGTCTTCCTTAAGATTGGATAATATTTAATGCTATAGTCTGACACAAGTTACTGGGGAACGGGTCCATTGCTGTGTTTGAATGTTATAAGTAATTAACTGATTGCTATATATATATATATATTTTAATCTGTTCAGTCATGTCTGATCCTCAGAGACTGCCTGGACAAGTCCCTGCAGTTTTCTTGGCAAGGTGTTGCCATTGCCTGCTTCCTAAGGCTGACAGAGAGTGACTGGCCCAAGGTCACCCAGCTGGCTTTGTGCCTAGACTAGTGTGGGACTAGAACTCACGGTCTCCCAGTTTCTAGCCTGATGCTTTAACCACTACACCAAACTGGCTCTCTGCTGTATATTTGCCAGGATATAAAACTAGTGATAGACCTTTTTCTCTGTTACAATCTCCTGTTATGTTGAGGAGTTTTCCAGTCATCCAATATCTGCTAGGTGCCTGATTTAAAAGATAGCTTTTCCCTATATTTTGTATGATTGTTTTTTCAATTCAGATATCTGTTCTAAGACACAGCATTCATTTGTTATGGTATATATAACCATGCAATCTTTATACGCAAGGTCACTTGGTGCACTCCACATATGACTGCCTCAGATATTTTGCTTTTAAATTACATTTAGTATAAACATGACATGTAGCTCATGTCTCCAAATATATTTATATGGATTTGTCATGAAATATCATTTTCAGAGAGATTGATACTGATATAAAAAAATACCATTCTCATAAGTCATTGATATTGTCCGATATGTGACACGAAGATGGGATGAATGCAATGATCTGAAAGAAGTCCAGAAGAAAACAGAACACAGGAAATGTTTCACTCAATTATGGACTAGCAAATCAAGTGTCCAATTCTCTTCAAACTTCAAACCCATTTGCTATAGACAAAGATTCCAAAGATTTGTAATTTATATTATTGAAATGTTCTCTTTCAAGCTCTTCGGCACTACTGGGAAAGTTCACTGGCAATCATACAGCAAAAATAAGTACCCCGTGTCATCAGGAAAGATCTAAAATTTCCCAATCGTACAGGAGGAACTCAAAAAGGAAAATGTTTAAAAATGCATATGAAAATTATTTCTTGAATATTTGCATGAATTCTGTGTTTGGTGGAAGCAAGGATGGTTTGCAAAAAGGGGAAGATACAGAGAGATGTAGGGAATGGTTTGCTGGAAGTTAGATTTAGATTTAGCTATATTTCCTTCTCCCCCCCCCCCCCTTTATCTCATGCCTTAATTCTTTTTCCTTATTGCTTTTTACTCTTTTCTGTGCTTTGGGTTCCGTTGCTTATCCCAGAAGACAATAGCGTATATATGTATGCTAGTGTGAATAGGATAAGAATTTCATGCAAAACCATGAATCCAAATTTAATATTGTTTAATATTATTTTATGATTGTTGAAGGAAGCAATGGACTTGGTCTTGACTTCCCTTAGCTTAGCCTTCCACCATCTCTAAATACTTTGGACTGAAAACCCCATAATTAATAAGCTGCTGGACAGGAATTATGAGGCTTTAGTAGTACAATCAAAAGTTTAAATGATTTTAAAATAATTTCAAAATGCCTACACGAGTAAGAAAATGTTAATGTGATTCCAAAAGCACTACTGCATAGGAGGTCATTCCAAGGACAAGCACTGCCATTTGGAAAGTCTTCTCTTTTGCCACTGATAAATGCACTTTAACGGGGGGGGGGGGGGGGGGGCTTCATTAACAAGGCCCAGATAGGTTAATATGTGAGGAGGCCTCTCTTCACATATCTGGCCCACAAATCCATTAAGGGCTTTTTAAGCAAGTAGGATTGCTCCTTGAACTGGGCTTGGTAGTAAATAAGTAGTACAAATCCTGAAGTACAAATTTGGTATTAACTGAGCCAACATTCCTTAGCAGATATTTCTACCCACATCAGCTCTGGATTAACTATCAGGGCACCAAGGGAAGGGCGACATCACAGAGTTTTTTCCCCTAGCTATCATGTCCTTAACTCTTTCACTGTCATACTTGACTTTAGTTTTCAGCACCTATTGATTCTTGTCAGTTAAGCAATGGAAGAGCTGAGGGGGCCATTGTCCACCATTACGGCATCATTTGGCCTTAATCCAGCCCTGACCTACATACGTGAATAATCATAGTATTCTGCTTTGCTCAGTTAATATTGGATAGATTATTTCTTCAAATCACTGCCTATAAGTAAAATAGAGGATTTATGCAAGCCATTTTTGGTCAGGGCTAAAAACCTCTTTGGATATGTTTTCCTAGAAAATCTAACATGTGATTAGATTAGAACCTCAAAGATGTAAGATCTCTTCTAGCAAGAAGACTCATGATGATTAGGCTGAAATCTGTAAGGAGTCAAAAATCAGGACATTGCAAATGTAGAAGCAACAACCTAGCAATTGCTCCTTAGGAAGCAGAGTGACATTAAACTGATGAGAATGCCATTTGCTAGTAATCATCAATGCTTGAGAAGAAGTAAGAGGATTTCCACAACAAATATTTGCGTTGTCCCAATCATATCTTGTGATCTCAAATATGATGAAATCCATGTAATCTTTTGCATTCTCCAAAATTCTGCTATTGTGGTGTCCTCCCTCTTTGGTTTCAGTGATAAATCCTGAACAAACACATTGAAGTGATTGATTGGTAAAGGAATGGAATTATAGGCATACTAGGAATATAGTGTTATGGGAAGAAAACCTAAAATAGGTACGTTTCCATATTTGTTGGTAGCAGTATTTGTAGGGGAAGGCAAGGACAATCAGAGCAGCATGGTGGTATTGCAATACAAGCCCTGTCCCTTTTTTACACATGTTGCAAAAAGGGTGGAGCTTCTGGTGCAATCCCCTTTACTGGATAATAAGGGAAAAGGGTTAGGTGTAAATAAAATTAATGTTAGGGGTATGACACTTCTGTAGTGTAAGGAGTTGAACTCATCTGTATGACTGGAGGCCTATAAAAAGGATAAATGACCTTCATGAAATACAGCGTGTGTGTTTAGTTGTTACGGGGTTGTAATTAACCCTTAGCAATGCTAACAGTGGAAGCACCTGGCAGATCTTGTTTGGGCTGGGAAGACAACTAAGGTCAGCATTTGAATGGGAGATCTCTGGGGAGTACCAAAGCTGTAGACTAGAGTCAAAGGCCAAAAGAAGTCCCAGAAGACAATGGTAAACCACTTCCATGCTCAACGGCATCCACCGGCTCCTGCACCTTTTCTCAGAATGATTAAAGCTGTGTCATGCCACAAGCTCTGCTTTTTTTGGTCCTACATTTGGCCAAAGGGACAGGGCTTCAGTCAAGACAACATGACACTGCCTGCATCCCTCTGATCCCCACCACCCACCCCAGTTCCCACTGCCAGGACTCAGGTTCAGGAGAGACCTGACTTTAGTAATGTTGACAGCCTTCTGGAATAGTTTTGGGGGGTTGTTTTGTTTTGTTTAGGATACTGACCACTCTTGATTCCTTTGCCATAGTGTTGAGCTTATTTACATGTCAGACTGTCTTGCATGTCGGAATGAAAATATATAATTATAATCATAAATTAAATTTATATGTCACTCGACTTCCAGCAACACTGGGTGGTTATATCTATACAGATATGGATATTGGAAGTGATGATTTGATAATACTTCTAATTGTCCCTTGTATCTGGAACAATTGCAGAATCAAAATGGGGAAGCAGGAAAGAAGGTTGCCCAAGCACTGAACAATTTACAGTTATTCAGGTGGTGTGCCCATACAAAATGTGAACCTTAAATTGTATTCAGCAGGAGACTTTGAACTTCCAGGAGAAAACCATTTGCTAAATACAAGTGACAGGGATGACTATAGGACTAGGAAAAGCAGTGGCAAACACAATTTTTACAAGATCACTTGCACGGTAGGAGCTGAAATATTAGTAGTAGTAGTAGCAGTATTTTCAAATTTATAAAGCTACACAACTCTATAAAGATTCTGGGCAGCATGCGACATGAAAAATGGCACAAGACAATATCAGAATGAAAAAACAATGCATGTCCAGAAGAGGAAAAAACCCACACTCAAACTAATCTGTAAAATCATATAGAGACTTGCTACTAATCCTAACCCAAGGCCTGGGGGAAAAGCCAAGTTTTTAATAACCTCTTAAATACTGTCAGAGTAGAGGCCATATAGACCTGGGGCAGGGGGCAGGGGTGGGGGTGGGGAGGCATAGCATATGATGTTTAATGGGGGGCTTCAATGAGATCATTTAAATTGATTTTGTAAACTGAGTCAGCATGCCTTTTTTTATAACATTGAAAATATAACTTTAGCAGTACTAAGCATCCTTTTAAAGGCAAATCTGTAAGTACTAGGGCAAAATAACTAT